GCAAAAGGTCACAACTCCGACATTGCTCTAATATATGGAGGCAATGAGTTCCACAGAATTGGAGCATTGATCGAAAAAGCTCTACGCCTTGTAGCTTCCAAATGTGCCTCCCTAGGACCCGGTATGTAGAGGAGATTTTCCTGGGTGGATCGAGGTGACCACTGATGGGAAAAGGAATGAGGCGGTCCCTAAGATATCAAGGTCCTTGGCCATTTTGAGCTCTCAATGTCAGGATCAGGATCTTGTAAGAGATCCGATGTTCTATTGGTAGCCAATGCAGTTGTTGCAGAATCGGTGTAATATGGGATCTTAGAGATGATCCCGCTAGCAGCCTGGCCGCTGCATTTTGGACCATCCGAATCTTCTGGGTTGTTGACTTCGGAAGGCCGGCATATAAGGCGTTGCAATAGTCCAACCTCGTGGTGACTGCTGCGTGGATTACTGTTGCCAAGTAAACCTTCCATCTATTTGTAATGGTCTTTTCTTTGTCCATTCTTGGTGTTTGCTTAGTCATAATTCCCATAATATCTAATAGCACTTGATCATACATATAATCATTCCAATTACTTAACGTCCATTTCGATTTGTCTTTCCATCCTCTAGTGATCACTGCATGTGCTGCTCTTATTGTTACCTTAAATAACTCCTGGCAATTAGTTTTCATACTCTGATGATCCAACACTCCCCATAGTAGCAAATCATTATTAATTTGAATTTTTATCTGGAATATCTCCTGATTTTTTCCTTATATCATTCTCTCACACTCAGTCTCTATAGCAGGGGTCCTCAAACTTTTTAAACAGAGGGCCAGGTCACAGTCCCTCAAACTGTTGGAGGGCCTGATTATAATTTGAAAAAGGCATGAATGAATTCCTATGCACACTGCACATATCTTATTTGTAGTGCAAAAACACTTAAAAACAATACAATAATTAAAATGAAGAACAATTTTAACAAATATAAACTTATTAGTATTTCAATGGAAGTGTGGACCTGCTTTTGGCTGATGAGATAGGATTGTTGTTGTTGTTGTTGTTGTTGTTGTTGTTGTTGTTGTGTGCTTTCAAGTCATTTCAGACTTATGTTGACCCTGAGTGAGGGCCGGGTAAATGACCTTGGAGGGCCGTATCTGGCCCCTGGGCCTTAGTTTGAGGACCCCTGTTCTAGAGGCATTCTCTCCTGATTTCGCCTGCATCTATGGCAAGCATCCTCAGAGGTAGTGAGGTCTGTTGGAACTAGGAAAATGGGTTTATATATCTGTGGAATGACCAGGGTGGGACAAAGAACTCTTGTCTGCTGGAGCTAGGTGTGAATGTTTCAACTGACCACCTTGATTAGCATTTAATGGCTTGGAAGTGCCTGGGGAATCTTTTGTTGAGAGGTGATTTGATGTGCCTGATTGTTTACTCTCTCTTGTTTTGCTGTTGTAATTTTAGAGTTTTTTAATACTGGTAGCCAGATTTTGTTCATTTTCATGGTTTCTTCCTTTCTGTTTAAATTGTCCACATGCTGCTTGTGGATTTCAATGGCTTCTCTGCATAGTCTGACATGGTAGTTGTCGGAGTGGTCCAGCACTTCGGAGAGGTTAACAGGGCCGGAGTCGTTTAGGGCTTTATAGGTTAACACCAGCACTTTGAATTGTGCTCGAAAGCTAATTGGCAGCCAGTGGAGCTGGTGTAACAGCGGAGTGGTGTGCTCCCTGTACCCAGCACCCGTTAGTAGTCTGGCTGCCGAGCGTTGGACTAGCTGCAGCTTCCGGGCAGTCTTCAGAGGCAACCCCACGTAGAGAGTTGCAGTAATCTAAACGGGATGTAACCAAAGCGTGGACCACCGTGGCCAAGTGAGACTTCCCAAGGTACGGGCGCAGCTGGCACACAAGTTTTAATTGTGCAAAAGCTCCCCTGACCACCGCCGAAACCTGGGGCTCCAGGCTCAGTGATGAATCTAGGAGAACTCCCAAACTGCGAACCTGCGCCTTCAGGGGGAGTGTGACCCCGTCCAGCACAGGCTGTAACCCTATACCCTGTTCGGCCTTGCGACTGACCAGGAGTACCTCTGTCTTGCCTGGATTCAATTTCAGTTTGTTCGCCCTCATCCAGACCGTTACAGCAGCCAAGCACCGGTTCAGGACCTAACAGCCTCCTTAGAAGAAGGTGGAAAGGAGTAACAGAGTTGGACATCATCTGCGTACAGATGACACCGTACCCCGAGACTCTGGATGATCTCTCCCAACGGCTTCATGTATATGTTAAACAACATAGGGGACAGTACTGAACCCTGCGGGACCCCACAGTACAATGGCCGAGGAGTTGAGCAGGACGCTTTCTGGGAGCGACCCTCGAGGAAGGACCGGAGCCACTACAAAGCAGTACCCCCAAGACCCATTCCTGCGAGGCATCCCAGAAGGATACCGTGGTCGACGGTATCGAAGGCCGCTGAGAGGTCCAGCAGAACCAACAGGGACACACTCCCCCTGTCGAGCTCCCGGCGCAGATCATCCACTAAGGCGACCAAGGCTGACTCGGTACCATGTCCCGACCTAAAGCCAGACTGCGCCGGATCTAGATAGTCCGTGTCTACCAGGAACTCCTGGAGTTGTGTTGCCACCACACATTCCAATCTCCCCAAATAGGGGAGATTGGAAACTGGCCGATAGTTGACTAATTGAGTGGGGTCCAGTGATGGTTTTTTCAACAGCGGTTTAATAACAGCTTGTTTTAAGCTGGCTGGAATATTGCCTTCCCGAAGGGAGGCATTAATCACCACCTTTACCCGCTCTGCTAAACCCCCTCTGGCTTCTTTCACCAGCCAGGAAGGGCAGGGGTCTAGGATGCATGTGGTCGGCCTCGCCTCCTCAAGAATCCCGATGACATCCTCGAGTTGAACAGATCGAAACGAATCCATCAAAACTGGACAATCAGATGCTTGTGTTACCCACTTCTTGCTTGATGTTCAGGCAGTGCTTCTTGTAGGTCAGAGCACGGTCCAGAGTGACTCCTCCCAGGTATTTGGGTGCGCTGGCAATGCTCCAGTGGGATTCCTTCCCAGGTAATCCTCAGAGCTCGGGATGCTTGTCTGTTCTTAAGGTGAAAGGCACATGTCTGTGTTTTAGATGGATTAGGGATCAGCTGGTTTTCCCTGTAATAGGCAGTAAGAGCACCTAGAGCTTCGGAGAGCTTCTGTTCAACCATCTCAAAGCTCCCTGCTTGAGTGGTGATGGCACGATCATCAGCATAGATGAAACTCTCTGTCCCTTCTGGCAGTGGCTGGTCATTTGTGTAGATGTTGAACATGGAGGGAGCAAGCACGCTCCCCTGAGGCAGGCCGTTCTTCTGTTTCCGCCATCTGCTTCTCTAATTTCCCTGGCCCTCTAAAATCGCACTAGCCTGGCCCAGCCTTTTAAACTTCTTTGGAGAGGCAGGATTATTTTAAATATATGTGCTGTTGTGGTTTTTAATGCCTATATTGTCTTTCTCACCAATGCTTCTTCCTCTTCATCCTGGAAAGAAGTGACGAGCAGAGTGCCATCAGCAGGGTTCCCCCCTGGGCCCGGTCCTGTTCAACATCTTTATTAATGACTTAGATGAAGGGCTAGAAGGCAGGATCGTCAAGTTTGCAGACGACACCAAATTGGGAGGGATAGCCAATACTCCAGAGGACAGGAGCAGAATTCAAAACGATCTTGACAGATTAGAGAGATGGGCCAAAACTAACAAAATGAAGTTCAACAGTGACACATGCAAGATACTCCACTTTGGCAGAAAAAACTAAATGCAAAGATACAGAATGGGGGACGCCTGGCTCGAGAGCAGTACGTGTGAAAAAGATCTTGGAGTCCTCGTGGACAACAAGTTAAACATGAGCCAGGAATGTGATGTGGCGGCAAAAAAAGCCAATGGGATTTTGTCCTGCATCAAGAGGAGCCTAGTGTCTAGATCTAGGGAAGTCATGCTCCCCATGCTCTATTCCGCTTTGGTTAGACCACACCTGGAATATTGTGTCCAATTCTGGGCACCACAATTCAAGAGAGATATTGACAAGCTGGAATGTGTCCAGAGGAGGGCGACTAAATGATCAAGGGTCTGGAGAACAAGCCCTATGAGGAGTGGCTTAAGGAGCTGGGCATGTTTAGCCTGAAGAAGAGAAGGCTGAGAGGAGATATGATAGCCATGTATAAATATGTGAGAGGAAGCCACAGGGGAGGAGGGAGCAAGCTTGTTTTCTGCTTCCCTGGAGACTAGGACAATGGAACAATGGCTTCAAACTACAAGAGAGGAGATTCCATCTGAACATGAGGAAAAACTTCCTGACTGTGAGAGCCGTTCAGCAGTGGAACTCTCTGCCCCGGAGTGTGGTGGAGGCTCCTTCTTTGGAAGCTTTTAAACAGAGGCTGGATGGCCATCTGTCAGGGGTGATTTGAATGCAATATTCCTGCTTCTTGGCAGGGGTTGGACTGGATGGCCCAGGAGGTCTCTTCCAACTCTTTGATTCTAGGATTCTATGTGTGAGACGTCTTTCTTGTATGTATTGATTATGCCACTTGGAAACCGCTCAGAGTCCCCTCGGGGAGATACAGCGGTATAGAAATCAAGTTTTGTTGTTGTTTTTCCTGCCTAAGTGGAGTCTCTTGCATTTGTCAGCAGGCCGGTGGGCGGGGGCCCTTGAGAGTCAGGTGCAAGGCGACCCCCCACCCCGCAGGACCCGCTCGCTCATTCGCTCCCTCCCCCCCCCCCCTCTCGCCCCTCTCTGTAGGGCAGCCTTTCGGGACCTCTCTGCCCGGCGACTGATGACGCCATCGCGTCGGTGCGCCTGATTGGCCTTCTCCCGGGGCGGCGGAGAAGGAGGGGCGCAAGGGCTGAGGGACTTTTCCTCCGGCCGAGCCGCCCCAGAAAGTGCCCGTCCCGAGCTGAAGGAGGCAGGTGGAAAGGGTTCGTCCGCCCTCTCCCTCCGCCGTCGAGTAAAGCAGGCAGGCAGGGGAGCGGTCTGTCTTGGTCCTGGCGATGGGCCCCTCTCTGTGGGGCTTCGCCTGGGCGGCGGGGCTGTTGGCGCTGCTCCTGCCCGCGGTGGGGGCGACTGGAGGGGGCCCCCCAAGTGAGTCTTCCTCCTTCCTTCCTTCCTTCCTTCCTTCCTTCCTTCCTTCCTTCCTTCCTGGAGGGGGGCGAGGCGGGGCGGAAGAGCGGGTCGCCGTGCGTGTTTGGCATTGGGAAGCCCCCTTCTGGCCGGGCAAGGGCCCCGGGAGCGTGGGGAAGGGAAGGGGCCCTGCCTTTCCCTCATCATCATCTTCATCCCTTCATCATCATAGGCGCTCCCAAGTCCCGGTCCAGGAGACTGAGTCCCCTCCAGGCAGGCCCATAGCCAGGATTTTGATTGGGGGGGGGGGGGGCTCAGGATCTATCCTAGCAAACTTTTTGTATCCCAATACCCCCACACATAGTTGTATCCTCTCCCCCAACCTATACCACTTGTATGCAGAACACATCATGCGAGGATGTGCGGGGCTTGAGGAATGCAAAGCTGGGGTGAAAATTGCTGGAAGAAACATTAACAACCTCAGATATGCAGATGACACCACTCTGATGGCCGAAAGCGAGGAGGAGCTGAGGAGCCTTCTCATCAAGGTGAAAGAAGAAAGCGCAAAAGCTGGGTTGCAGCTAAATATCAAAAAAACCAAGATTATGGCAACAAGAATGATTGACAACTGGGAAATAGAGGGAGAAAACGTGGAGGCCGTGACAGACTTTGTATTTCTAGGTGCAAAGATGACTGCAGATGCAGACTGTGGCCAGGAAATCAGGAGACGCTTCCTTCTTGGGAGGAGAGCAATGTCCAGTCTCGATAAAATAGTAAAGAGTAGAGACATCAGACTGGCAACCAAGATCCATTGCCTAGTCAAAGCCATTCCCTGTAGTAACCTACGGATGTGAGAGCTGGACCTTAGGGAAGGCTGAGCAAAGGAAGAGAGATGCTTTTGAGCTGTGGTGTTGGAGGAAAGTGCTGAGAGTGCCTTGGACTGCGAGAAGACCCAACCAGTCCATCCTCCAGGAAAGAAAGCCCGACTGCTCACTGGAGGGAAGGAGACTAGAGACAAAGTGGAAGTCCTTTGAATGCCACATCATGAGGAGACAGCAAAGCCTAGAGAAGACAATGATGCTGGGGAAAGTGGAAGGCAAAAGGAAGAGGGGCCGACCAAGGGCAAGATGGATGGATGGCATCCTTGAAGTGACTGGACTGACCTTGAAGGAGCTGGGGTGGTGACAGCCGACAGGGAGCTCTGGCGTGGGCTGGTCCATGAGGTCACAAAGAGTCGGAGTCGACTGAACGAATGAACTATATATTGAGCATGGTGATCAGATCATGATATGAATAAACGTAACAGTTTGAATAATGTACCAGTAAGGCCTTCTCGTGGACCACCCTGAGAATTTGGGGGGGGGGGGCTGAAGGGGGGGGCGGAAGCTACAGGCCTGCCTTCAGGGCTAAAGTCTTCGCAGTGGCTCCTGGAGTGAATGTGGAGGAGCCCCCCGTGGCGGTGCAATGGGTTAAACCCTTGTGCCAGCAGGACTGAAGACCGACAGGTCAGAGGTTCGAATCCAGGGAGACCACAGATGAGCTCCCTCTGTCAGCTCCAGCTCCCCATGTGGGGACATGAGAGAAGCCTCCCACAAGGATGGTCAAACATCTGGTAATAGTAGGAAAGCTGGGTCCAGAAGCTCCAAGCTGTTTCCACTTCATTCCTTCAGGAGTACTGTTGGCACAACACAGAACGGAATACAGATATTATAGAAGGAGTGTAAGAGTTCCATAATGGTAAAACCCTAACACAAACCCTAATCCTAACCCTAATCCTAAATCTAATTCTAATCCTAACCCTAAACCTAACCCAAACCCTAACCCTTACCTTACCCTAAACCTTATCCTAACCCTCCCTTCCTTTCTATGGACCACGTGGTCCCTTCCCTTATTCACAACCGCTGTTGCGGAATGTGCATAACGCTCGGAGCTTCTGGACCCAGCAATCATACTATCATCAAATATCCAAACATCCAAGCAATGTCCCCTGGGCAATCCTCTCACACCAGAAACGACTCGCAGTTTCTCAAGTCTCCCCTGACACATCTGCAAAGTCTTTCTTTCGCAGTAGCAAGGACAGGCCTTTCCAGGTGGAAGGTGCTCATGAGGAGGGTCTGCTTGGCGCGCCCTCCTCTGCTTTCCAAGCCTCTCTCAATCTCTCTGTCTCTCTCTTTTGCAGGGAATTTCTTGTACCAAGAGAGGGCTGAGTGCTTCTTCTCCAATGGAACCGGCCCCGAGGCACAGGTGCACTACCTGGATCGGTTCATCTATGACCGGCAGGAAATTGCCCACTTCGACAGCGCCCTGGGCCGGTACGTGGCCCTTGCACCCATGGTGGAGTCCAGCGTGGACAGGTGGAACCGAGACCCGAGCATGCTGCCGAGAAATATGGCTAACATGGATGGCCTCTGCCACCACAACTATGGCATTTTCCAGCCCTTCGCCCTCAGCAGGAAAAGTGAGTCCCCTCCCCCCCATGCAGGTCGGGAAGATGGGTGTATGGGGGTGGGAGGAAGGGGGATGTATCCCACCGGAGAGCCTTCCCTGCCAGGAAAACCTGCCCTTTAGACCAACTTCCCTTGAAACAGGAAACACATGTCTCTTTGGGCAAAAGTAACAATCATAATGCAAAGAGCACACCGCAGAGGCACAACGCCACTGTCAAGAGTTCCTTGTCATGTAAAAGAGATCCAGTGCATCAAAACACAGGCAGATATCTGGAGGGAGATCCAGAAAAGCAGAAGGTCAAAGTAAGAAAGCCCAGGAAAGGGCAGGGAATCAGAGCTGTTCGGCTCAAAAATAACCCTCCGTTGGAGTGATTCCATCATAAATATAGCGGAGGACCAGAAGTACCCTTCTGTTGCAGAGTAGACTTCACCTTGCTTCCAAACACCACCACACAAGAGCTGTAGTTTTATAGTTTATTGAAGAAAAATCCAAGTCAGAATAAAGAATAAGCATTCCAAAGTCCCAGAGATTAAGGTTAAATGCGGGATACAGTTCCAAAGATCTTCAGGTAAAAGCAGGAGACATAATCCTATTGGCAAAGTTCAAACCAGAGTCCCAGGTACAAGTAATGAAACATTTTCCCCAAGAATCACGATGCAAGAAATCCCAAGCGTACTGCTTTCCAGACTAAGTTTATTCCATGAAGCTTTCAGGCTAATAAGCTACGTTGAACTGACGGTTTCACAGAGTTTCCAGGAGGCCTAAATACCTTTCTAACATCAAAACATTAGGCTCAAAACATTAGGCTGTCAGCATCATAAAAGCATTGCGATGGCCTTGTACCGAGGTAGCCTCCCGTCTGCTTGCCAGACGTGAACTGCTCCTGACCCGGAGATCAAGGTGAGCTTCTCGGCTGAAATCCTTATCTATGCTTTCAATATCATTGTGGGAAGGCACCTGGCCGCTATTCCCTTCATTAACATTCCTTTGTGGTGAACACAGCTGTGTTGGCACTGCACTGTCTGTGAGAGCTTCGGAAGCAGGCGAAGCAGGCACAGAGATTTGAGGCACAGACAAAGAGCCAGGAAGCTGAAACCCAATCCCATCATCCTCATCGTCAGAAACCAGCTCAGCCACAACACCTTCATAACCAGCAGAAACTTACGTGTGGTGAGCCAGGATAAGCTTCTCTTCTTAGGACAGCAGAGTCAAACAGACAAGCCTTTGATCCTGAGGAATCCATGGCCAATGTGATGAAGCATTGACAGTACCGACCCGCACTTTGATTGATTGTTATGAGAGATAGCCGGCTTTCCCGCAGGTGTTTAGGAATTTTACGGTTTTCAAATTTTTGTAATTTTATCAATAAGGTTTTTATGAGCTGTTGATTGTACTTGTGTCATTGTGTTTGTGCTTACGTATTGTTGTCTGTGTATGGCATTTGGTGTGCTTCTGTGTGCCGCCCCGAGTCCCTTTGGGGAGATGGTGGCAGCGGGGTACAAATAAAGATTTATTTTTGAGGTTCAAAAGTATTTATTGAAGTAAAAGAAATCCATTCTAGATAGAAAAGGGTCTTGGCACTGACTAGCTTACTCAGTCTCATCTTATAAGGAAGTTCAAAAGGGCAAAAGGTCAAAATATCTATGCAGCTACATTTTGCCTAGAGAGAGGCAAAATGCGTCTTCACTGGAAGGAAGTAAAAGGCAGAAAGGACAATGGAGGATGGCCACATGGCCAAGCCCAGGACAATCAAAATACCTTCAAAAAGGAAGTTCCCTCATCCCTCACAGAGATTCCATTGCTACATCTTCAAAGGGGGAGGAGATAGTAGCAAAAAGGCAGAGGAAAGGGGAAACCATGCATAGGAATGTGGGGGGAGAAATCCCTCACTCTAATCTTATCTCTAGTGTAGCTACTCATTGAGCTCTGGAAACTTAATGACACAAGAGTCTTATGCAGTCCAGGGATGACACAACCCAACAGACTTTTAAATGGAGACCCCCTCCCCCTTTTATTTCACCGTTGTTTGGAGGAAACAGAGGGAGAGGAGGAACAAGCCTACTTTGTCCCTTGTTAGGACATGCTCTGATTGAACAGGTTTCTTGTAGGTGACAATGGAAATGGAAGAGGGATAATAACACTTGCAAATAGAAATCCCTCTGGTCAATTCAAGGTATGCCAGTGATTGCTGAACCACAACACCCCCTGAAGGTCCCATTGCCCCTACAGCAGGCACCCTCAATCTGCAGCCCTCCAGCTGTTTTGACCTCCAACTCCCAGAATTCCAGAGCATTGAACAAGCTGGCTAGGACTTCTGGGAGTTGGAGGCCTAAACAGCTGGAGGGCTGCAGTTTGAGGATGCCTGCCCTAGAGACGGGGGGGACGGGACCTACTTACTTACTTAGGCAATCCCTCGTTGGACGAGTAAGATGGTCTTCCAATATTCTTGTGGGTTCGTAGGTGGCTGTGGAGCCCTATTCTTGATCTCCATCTACTCCCACAGTGAAGGCACTGGTTTCCAGGTGGAAGGCGGTCTCGGTCGGGGTTGGCTTGACGCGCCTTTCTCCTGGCACATTTCTCTCTTTCACCCTCCACTCATGCCTCTTCAAATTCTGCAGCACTGCTGGTCACAGCTGACCTCCAGCTGGAGCGCTCAAGGGCCAGGGCTTCCCAGTTCTCAGTGTCTATGCCAGAGATTTTAAGGTTGGCTTTGAGCCCATCTTTCAATCTCTTTTCCTGTCCACCAACGTTCCATTTTCCGTTATTAAGTTCAGAGTAGAGCAACTGCTTTGGGAGACGGTGGTCAGGCATCCGGACAACGTGGCCGGCCCAGCGGAGTTGATGTTGGAGGACCATCGCTTCAATGCTGGTGGTCTTTGCTTCTTCCAGCACGCTGACGTTTGTCCGCTTGTCTTCCCAAGAGATTTGCAGGATTTTCCGGAGGCAGCGCTGATGGAATCGTTCCAGGAGTTGCATGTGACGTCTGTAGACAGTCCACGTCTCACAGGCATAGAGCAGGGTTGGGAGGACAATAGCTTTATAAACAAGCACCTTGGTATCCCTACGATGTCCCGGTCCTCAAACACTCTCTGCTTCATTCGGGAAAATGCTGCACTCGCAGAGCTCAGGCGGTGTTGTATTTCGGTGTCGATGTTGACTTTGGTGGAGAGGTGGCTGCCAAAGTAGCGGAAAGGGTCAACATTTTCTAATGTCACACCATTAAGCTATATCTCTGGCATTGGGGAGGGGATGGCTGGTGAGTGCTGGAACAGCACTTTGGTTTTCTCGATGTTCAGTGACAGGCCAAGCTTCTCGTATGCTTTTGCAAAGGTGTTTAGAGTGGCTTGTAGGTCTTCTTCTGAATGCGCACAGACTACATTATCATCAGCATATTGGAGTTCTATAACAGATGTTGTTGTGACCTTGGTTTTGGCTTTCAGTCTGCTGAGGTTGAATAGCTTGCCATCTGTCCGATAGATGATTTCCACTCCGGTGGGAAGCTTCCCATCAACAAGGTGAAGTATCATAGCAATGAAGATGGAGAATAGAGTTGGGGCAATAACACATCCCTGTTTGACACCCGATTCCACCTTAAATGGGTCACTTTGGGAGCCATTGCTGTCCAAGACTGTTGCCATCATGTCATCATGGAGGAGCCGCAGGATGTTCACAAATGTGTTTGGGCACCCGATTTTGTGGAGGATGGTCCAGAGAGCGCTGCGATTCACTGTGTCGAATGCCTTTGCAAGGTCAGTGAGTGCCATCCATGTTGGTTTTGTTCCCTGCATTTTTCTGGAGCTGTCGTGCAGTGAAGATCATGTCCACGGTTCCTCTGGGGGGGGGGGGGGAATAAGGTGGATGGATAGAAGAGTGCACCAGTTGCTTTTCCCTCAAAACACCAGGCCAGGAAAGCCAGAAGACAAGCGAAGGGACTTTGCAAGAGTTTTATGTGGAGGGAGGTGTGGGGAAAGGGCAGTTTGAAGCCATGGCTCCTGGGCAGCAGAAAACAAGCTTGCTCCCTCCTCTCTGTGACTGCCTCTCACATATTTATTTATTTCAAGCACTTCTTCTCCGCCCTTCTCAAGGGGTGACTCAGGGCGGCTTCCAGACGGCACATATTCGATGCCTACAATTCAATACAATAAATAATATAACAACAATAAACATCAATAGTTAAAACGTTAAATTAATACAATAAAATCTCCTAAAAGGTCAGCCTGGTGGCCATCGTTTCGCCAGGATAGGAGTCCATTCAGCATATTGTCATCCGTTTCCAAAGCTTTTAGTTGTCATTGTCCTTATCAGTCTGCCTGATTACCCAAAGGCCTGGTACCATATCCATGTTTTTAACTTCCTTCTGAAAGAGAGGAGGGATGGCAATGATCTAATTTCCCCAGGGAGTGAATTCCACAGGCAGGGGGGCCACCACCGAGAAGGCCCTGTCCCTCGTCCCTGCCAATCTCATTTGTGACAAAGGTGGGGCAAGATGTAGAAGGAGATACGTTTGGACAGGTACACTGGGCCAGAGTCGTATAGGGTTTTATAGGTCAAAACCAACACTTTGAATTGTGCTCGGAATTGGATCGGCAGTGGAGCTGACATAACAGATGGGTGGTATGTTCCCTGTATGGCGCTCTGGTGAGTAATCTGGCTGCCGCCCGTTGGAGGGCCATATTTACACATGGCCCTCATCCTGTCTCCTCTCAGCCGTCTCTTCTGAAGGCTAGAGTAAAGCTATACTTAAAGACTATGGACAATAGATAAAGAATGATATCCTGTGTACTCAACACAGAGAAACCTACATCCTCTCTAACTGAACTTTAATAAGAAATATGCCTGCATGGTGAATTAATACAAGATGTTTATGAGTAAACAAGATATATTATTTATCAAAGAAGACTTTGGTTTTTTTTTTTTAATCTTTTGAGTATATATTTTAACTAAGAGGTTTTAAGGGAGTGTATATCTTTTGGGCAATTACAACTGCAATTACAGCATCAAAGAAACAACCATCTTCTGCTAACACAATATATTTTTGTAGCGGCATGTCTTTATCCTTGGCAGTTCAAAGACATGGTTCTTCAGTCTAACAGCTGAGTTACCTGTGTGCCATTGCATGAATGTTTATGAATATCACTGGTTCAAAGGATTGACTTCTAACAAGGTCATGCTTTCCTTGACTAGTGGTTTTCAAAAGGTGGTCTCCACATATTCCTTCTTTGGAAGCTTTTAAACAGAGGCTGGATGGCCATCTGTCAGGGGTGATTTGAATGCAATATTCCTGCTTCTTGGCAGAATGGGGTTGGACTGGATGGCCCATGAGGTCTCTTCCAACTCTTTGATTCTATGATTCTATGATTTGCCAAACAGATATGACATATTTTTACCTTTCCAATAAGGTTATGGTGCACTTATTTCCAATAGGTTATGGAATTTCCCATAAAGCTCCACTGAGATAGACTTACTGGAAGCCCCTTTTTCTTCCTATGAGATTCCCCCGGTCCTAGGTCCCCACTCCCTCACACTACCACTCACCCCGTTTCCTCTGTCCCTTTCTTCTCCAGTTCCACCCAAGATGAAGATCACCCCCACCCACTCCGGGGCCTCCACCTCCTCCCGCAACACTATGCTGATCTGCACCGTGGGCCCTTTTTTCCCGGCCAAGATCACAGTCCGGTGGTTCAGGAACGGGAAGGAGGAAAAGGGGGAAATGGTGATGACCTCGGGCCTCATTGACAACGGAGACTGGACCTACCGGGTCCAAGTGATGCTGGAGACGCAGCCGGAGAAGGGAGATGTCTACATCTGCCAAGCGGAGCACGACAGCTCTCCTAGCCCTGCCTCCATTGAGTGGAGTAAGAAATGGAGCCACAAAGACAGCCCCAGGGAGGGAACCCTGTGGGACATCTGCCTGAAGATGTCCTCCGGGTCTCTGCTCAGGGCCTCCAAAGAAGGAGACCCCTCTCCCCATTACATAGTACTTCCTAATATGTATCTTTGGAGGGGTTTATGGTGCTGATGCACTGCCCCTTTTCAGTCCTACTCTTCCTCCTCCTCTTCTGCAGGGCCCCAGTCGGACTCCGCTAAGAACAAGATGTGGACGGGGATCGTGGGCCTGGTCCTGGGGGTGGTCTTTGTGGCCGCAGGGCTCTCCGTCTACGTCAAGAAAGGTGAGGCTGTGTATGCGACATTCTGAGTACCACTTCTGAAAGGTCCTCACAGCAGTAGAGTGTAGCTCAGGTTGGTCAGGTCTTTGGGCTGTGACTCCCAGCATCCCCCTCACCAGAGGCTATGTTGGTCTGTTTCTCTCGGGACCCAAGGCCAAGAGGTGTTGACTTCCTCTCAAGCAGGACTCTTCACCCTCCCAGAAGTCACCTCCCAGAGTTCTTGACCATTGAACAAGCTGACTAGAGCTCTGGGAGTTGATGCCCCAAAACCAGGAGGGCTGCAAGTTGAAGAGGCCAGGTCTAAATTATTTATTTATTTATTTATTTATTTACTTTATTTGTATACCGCTGTTCTCAGCCCTTAGGCGACTCACAGTGGTTAACAACAGGAACAGCAAAAATTCAATGCAACAACAACATGATATTTAAAACAATTAACATCATAAACACACTATACAGTTAACAACAATAACCATTCACTGGCGTCTCATAACTAAAAACATGATCCAAATTCGTCATCCATTGATCCATTCCTAAATTCATTACACTCATTGCACTATCTATTCAAACGCCTGTTCAAATAACCAGGTTTTCACTTTCCTCCGGAATACCATTAGTGATGGGGCCGATCTGATGTCCGTGGGAAGGGCATTCCACAGCCGAGGGGCCACCACCGAGAAGGCCCTATCTCTCGTCCCCGCCAACCGTGCCTGTGTTGCAGGCGGGATCGAGAGCAGGGCCTCCCTGGACGATCTCAAAGTCCTAGTGGGTTCATAGGCAGAGATGCAATCGGATAGGTAACTTGGTGGATTGGGGCAGCCATGGCTTCAGGAAGTGGCCTGGGGGCAGCTGGGTTTGTGGACTACAGCTCCCAGCAACCTCTTGCTACTGCCTACCTTAAGCCCAAGGAGATGGCGCAGTCTGGTGACTTTGGAGGGCCAAGAGTTCACTATCACTGTCCTAAAGGCTATTGATCTACTCACCATGGACCTGTATGTTTGTCTATCTAGTGTCTACTTCTATCCTTTATCTATCATGTCATCTCTCTCTCATCAATGATCTGTCAGTTATTGGTATTTATTTATTTATTTATTTATCGTGTCAGGAGCAAACCAACCAGATGTATTGCATTAAAAAAACACACACACACACAAAGTTTGCAAACTTGGCATTCTATTAAATGTCCTTTGAGCAGTCTCTGGCCCCTTGGAGTGCCTCTGGTGTTGCCACAAGAAGGTTCCCCATTGTGCATGTGACAGGGCTCAGGTTGCATTGCAGCAGGTGGTCAGTGGTTTGCTCTTCTCCACACTCGCATGTCGTGGATTCCACTTTGTGGCCCCATTTTTGAAGGTTGGCTCTGCATCTCGTGGTGCCAGAGCGCAGTCTGTTCAGCACCTTCCAAGTCGCCCAGTCTTCTGTGTGCCCAGGGGGGAGTCTCTCATTTGGTATCAGCCATTGGTTGAGGTTCTGGGTTTGAGCCTGCCACTCTTGGACTCTCGCTTGCTGAGGTTTTTCAGCGAGCATCTCTGCAGATCTTAGAAAACTATTTCTTGAAGTCTGATCTGGCCATAGTATTTATTTACGTGTCAGGAGCGAACCAAAACAGTTGTATTGCATTAAAAACCAACCAACCAACAAACAAAATGCAAAGTTTGCGGAGTTATAAATGTCCTTTGACCAGTAGCTGGCCACTTGGAGTGCCTCTGGTGTTGCTGCAAGAAGGTCCTCCACTGTGCACGTCGAAGGGCTCAGGCTGCATTGCAGTAGGTGGTCTGTGGTTTGCTTTTCTCCACACTCGCATGTCGTGGAGTCCACTTTGTAGTGCCATTGTTATTGGTTACATCTATCTATTTACCTGTCCATCTGCGCTCTCTCTCTCTCTCTCTCATCAATAATAATAATAATAATAATAATAATAATAATAATAATAACACTTTATTTGTACCCTGCTACCATCTCCCCAAGGGACTCGGTGCGGCTTACATGAGGCCGAGCCCAAACACAACAATACAAGCAATTAAAAACACATAGACAATAAGAAACAACATTATGATTTATCAATGGTCTATCTATCTATCTGTGTCATCTCTCTCAGTGTGTATGTCTGTTTCTCTTTCTCATCTGTCTGACTATTGTTTATCATATCTCTCTTCTCTCTTTCCTCTCTGTCATTGATGATCTATCCTATCTATGCTATGCTATGCTATGCTATGTATGTATTTCTAATCCAGGGCTGTAGCCAGAGGGGGCAAGGTTTAAGAGTTCAACCCCTCCCCAAAATGTGTCAGGTTAAACCTGGTTTACTCATAAATTAGTTAACCAGTTAAAATTCATGAGTAAACCAGTTTTTTTTTAATCGGACATATTTCAGGGAGGAGGGGTATGTGTTGAACCCTTAACCGCCCCCCCCCCCACCCCGGGCTACGGCCCTGCTCTAATCTGTGGCATTTCTCTCCCAGTGACATTTCCAATAAGTCCAAAAACTGCAGCCATAAAAACATTTCAAAACGTGGCCTCTTTATACTTCCATTGCTTTGCTCTGCATGAAGACTTTCCCTTTCCTCACTGGTCATGCTAATGATTTCCATCTGCGATGGCTGTTCCAAGTTTCCAATACACATACACACACACACACATTCATATATATGTGTGTGTGTATAATATATATATAGTGTATATACAATGGGGGGGGGAGTATTTAGTCAGATACCAATTGTACAAGTTCTCCCACTTAAAAAGATGAGAGAGGCCTGTAATTGACATCATAGGTAGACCTCAACTATGAGAGACAACATGAGAAAACACATCCAGAAAAGCACATTGACTGATTTTTAACACGTCTCATCTCAATCCCTTGTTATTGGCAATGCCAGAGGTCAAACGTTTTTTGTAAGTCCTCACACTGTTGCTGGTCTGTTGGCCCATTCATTCCTCCATGCAACTCTATCTCCTCAGAGCAGTGATGTTTTGGGGCTGTCGCTGGGCAAGACGGACTTTCCACTCCCTCCAAAGGCTTTCTCTAGGGTTGAGATCTGGAGACTGGCTTGGCCACTCCAGGACCTTGAAATGCTTTTTACGAAGCCACTCGCTTGTTGCCCTGGCGGTGAGCTTGGGATCCTTGTCATGTGGAACGACCCAGCCACATTTCCTCTTCAGTGCCCTTGCTGATGGAAGGAGGTTTGCACTCCAAATCTCACAAGACATGGCCCCACTCATTCTTTCATGTCTACGGATCGGTCGCCCTAGTCCCTTTGCAGAGAAACAGCCCCAAAGCATGATGTTGCCACCCACCCCCAGGCTTCACAGTAGGGATGGTGTTCTTGGGATGCAACTCGGCATTCTTTCTTTCTCCTCCAAACACCACAAAGAGTTTGGTTGCTGCTAAACAGTTCTACTTTGGTCCCAACTCTCTGCAGGTCATTCACTAGGTTACCCCATGTGCTTCTGGGATTTTTGCTCACCATTCTTATGATCATCATTTTGACCCCACAGGTGGGGTGAGATCTGATATCGAGCTCTTTTGTGGGGGTCTCCCAGCGGGAGGGATCCCTGAAGACCGCTAAAGGGGTCCTGTGACCTCGGTGAGCAGCCAGTGAAAGCCAATCCAAAGAGCGAAAAATATTAAAAATTAATCTCACCGGAGGCTGAAGAGGTTCAGTGACCGAAGCGTTTATTTCTGCAATTCAGCTGAAAAGGATGCGATTGCAGTGATCATTCACATACAAGCATACATTTACAGAAGTTCCAGGCATTTTTATAGCGTACAGACAAAGGAAACATTTTCAAAAATCCCGCCCGCCCTCTGCCGGCCGGCTTCGCCCTGATTGGCTGGCCGCGGAACAGCTGGGAGGAGGCTTGACTGTGCGTCCCGCCTCCTGTCCAATCAGCGAGCTCTGCCGCCTCTAGGGGGCCAATCGGCGTCTTCCTAGCGCCTCCGACGATGGTCCAATCAGCAGCCAGGAGGCGGGACGAAGTTTGACAGCTCAGGGGAAATGGGGTGCCCAGGGGGCATCCGCCAGCTGTTACTGAGCCTTTGTTCTCATCGGCGGGGTGGCAGACAAGGGGAACAATGAGTTTCCCCGGTCTATGATTGGATTTGGGAGGAAGTATGAAAAAGGTGAAAAAGGAGCTATTGATGGTATTTGGACCTCGGGGCCTTGTAAACAAGGGGGCCTTGTAAACAAGGGGGATCAACAAATACCTAGAAAATGAGTTAATCAATCTTTTTTCCTAAGTTTCTGTTGACCCTTCCCGCCCTAGGCTGTCTGCTCTGAAAGCCAGTTGAGGAAGGGTCAATCCTGCGGCCCATGCAGATGTAGATATGATCAGTTTCGAGAGGACAAAGGATTTCCTCTTTGCAGTAATCTTAGGTCACATTCCTTTTTGGGGCGAAGTTCAGAGGGAAAGGCGGGAAGGGGAATCAGGGTACATTTCATATGATATCCCACTATATACATCTTATATACTTCATATACTTCATACATCTCATAAATGAATTCCCATCCCCATCCCAGCAAAGTTTATTAAAAATAATAATAAATGTATTTTATTTTTGTAGGAATCATAGTCTTCTTGGTGAAGGCGCACGTAGGCCGAGGCTGCTTGTCCCTCCAGGCAAGCCCGGTCTGAGGTTTGTGTCCAAAAGTATGGCAGGGAAACAGTCCAAGACAATAAGGCAGAAAGTCAATAAGTGAGGGCAAAAGAGTCCGAAGAGGATTTCCGAACTGTAAATGGTGGGGCAATGTCCTTTGGGAAACTGTATCTCCCCGGTCGGGGCCCGGGACCCATGCCTGGCCCCCTCTCCGGGGCTCCTACGGGCGACCGCCGTGGGTCCCAGGTTGCTGGATTCAATTGGGAGCGAGCACTGCCGCGGAGGAGCGGAAAACCCAGTCAAATTGACAATCAGCTGTTTCTCTGCAAGATAAAATACTTAAAACAAAACTAATTTTTCCCGGGTGAAGGAGCCCAAAACGAGAAAAGGGAAATGGCAGTTAGTCTTAGAATTAGTTGTAGAAAAATATAAAATTGGAACGGCGGCGATCCGCCATTTTATGTATTTTCGTGGATAAGGGGGTCTGAAATGGCGGTTTCCGTATCCGCGGTCTAGGCGAACGCAGATTCGGGGTCCGGGGGGCGCCCGGAGGCGCCTCCCGCGGGCTCACGGCTCTCCGGAGCCCGGAAAAAGGTTTATTGCAATGTTATTTTAGTTTGAGTCAAGGAAGGATACAAAAGTAGCATGCAGAGAGATAAAAAGTTGCAAGTTTCAAGTACAGGGTTAGTCAAAATGAATAGGCCAATAAGAAAATTAATTTTAGACGAATGTATGTTTACTGTAACCAAACCACAGCTACGTAGCGACAGATAAACTATCAAAGTTTTTTTTGAGCAACACACATGTACGTTAATGCCGCTAGGCGTCGCTAGGGGTCGCTGTTTTCAAAATGGCGGAATCAAGCAAAGAGAAGGCGTTTTGTGTGATGACATTTGCTAAAACAATGTCAGTAATTACGGTCCAGCGAGAATTTCGAGCCAAGTATGGCAAGGAACCACCTCATCGACATTCCATTGCGAGGTGGGTAAAGCAATTTGAGGAGACGGGCTGCTTATGCAAGGGTAAAACTTAAAACAGCGCATATGTGCTGCATTCGATGCCATTACGTCGGATGTGCTGCAACGGATGTGGAATGAACTGGACTATCGCTTGGACATCTGCCGTGTCACACGGGGCGCCCATATCGAACATCTCTGAAGGTGAGACAAAACTTTGATAGCTTATCTGTCGCTACGTAGCTGTAGTTTGGTTACAATAAACATACATTCGTCTAAAATTAATTTTCTTATTGGCCTATTCATTTTGACTAACCCTGTATTATTAGCATAGTACAATATCAATATTACCATTATATTGTAATATTATTACTAATATTACGTGTAATATAAAATATATAATTCTAATATATTATTATTAGTAGTATGGTGCTTTGCTTCTACAGTGTTGCTAAAATTCTGGTGGTGAAAATTTCAGAACTCTAACAAAACTTTCAACATTTCATTATTAGTGATTTTTATGACAGAAGCTATTAGGAGATACCATTTATAATGAAATAGTACAATATCAGGATTAAATATTACTATATTGTACTAAACCATTATATTGTAATATTATTATTAGTAATATTGCATGTAATATAAAATATTTAATTCTAATGTCATGTTATTATTAGTAGTATTATATTGTATTACATTATTCTATAATATTATAATCCCATAGTGGGAGTTGTAGTTTACCCTACATCCAGAGAGCACACTGAACCCCACCAAACCCGCCCAGCATAACAAACTTTTAAGTCCTGATGGAGTTTTTCCAGGTTAACCTGGCATGATGGGAGTTGTAGTTCATCCCCAACTTTACTATTTATATATTTATTTATGACATTTATATTCCACCCTTCTCATCCCAAAGGGGATTTGGAGCGGCTTACAAGATATACACACACACACTCACACACACACACAATATATATTATATTATTAGCATAGTACAATACTGAATCCTGAGGAATCTGTGCAAGGACCAAGTAGCAACTGTCAGAACTGACCACGGAACAGGAGACGGGTTCAAGATTGGGAAAGGCGTCCGGCAAGGCTGCATCCTCTCA